TGTTCTGTAGTCTGATGACACACTAGAACTAGCCATTAAAGATGACGAGCTGCTGCTTTCTCTGCCCACACTCAAAGTAGGCAAAGATGCTTGCAACGAAAGTGATAGCAAAACTGACTTTTCTGCTGATGGTAGTTCAACTGTCCTTTTCTCCGAGGTTCTACTTGAGACTATTATCGAGGATAAAGACACACTGATTCCACTCCTAACACCAGAAGTCGAGGATTTCAGTACCGACGATGCTCCATGCACCAATGACCTCTCCGAAGACAGCTGAACTGTACTGTCCTCTGATGTCAAACTGGACAGTGTTGTTAATGATAACGATGTCCTGCTTTCCCTCATAGTAACATCAGTCCACAATACTGCCACCGATGATAATGACAGCAGCAGTGACCTTTCCAAAGACTGCCCACCGGTCCTTTGCTTTGATTCCATACTGGAGACTAACACTGCTGCTGACGATCTCCTGCTGCTCTCTCTGCTAACACCAACAGTCGACAATAACACAGCTGACGATTCTAATACTGCCAGTGAACTTTCCGATGATCCTCTCAATGAGCTTTGTTCTGATACCACGCTGGACTTTATTGTTGATAACAAGGATCTGCTGCCGTCTCTGCTACCAGAGACAGAGGACGAGAGCACAACCAATGAGGGTGAAAGAGACGCTGATCTCCCTGAAGTTAGTTTGATCGTTCTGTGGTCGGATGACACACTAGAACTAACCGTTAAAGATGACGAGCTGCTACTTTCTCTGCTCACACTCAAAGTAGGCGAAGATGTTTCCAACGAATGTGATAGCAAAACTGACTTTTCTGCTGATGACAGTTTAACTGTCCCTTCCTCTGAAGTTCTACTGGAGACTATTATCGAGGATGGTGATACACTGATTCCACTGCTAACATCAAAACTTGAGGATTTCACTACCGACCCTGCTCCTTCTACTGAGGACCTCTCTGAAGACAGCTCAACTGTACTGCCCTCCGATTTCAAAATGGACAGTATTGTTGGTGATAACGATCGCCTGCTTTCCCTAATCATAATATCAGTCGACAATACTGTCGCCGATAATGGTGACAACACCAATGAGCTTTCCAAACACTGCCCACCTGTGCTTTCCTTTGATGCCACACTGGAGACTAAAACTGCTGACGAAAATCTCCTGCTGCTCTCTCTGCTAACGTAAACAGTGGACAACAATGCAACTGACGATGGTGATACTGCCGATGATTTTGCTGAAGATCCGGTCAATGTGCTTTGTTCTGATGTCACACTGGACTCTATTGTTGATATTAAGAATCTTCTGCTGTCTTTCCTAGTACCAAAAGTTGACGAGAGCATAACCAATAAAGGTGACACGGACTCTGATCTCTCTGAAGATAGTTTGACTGTGCTGTGGTCTGATGGGAGACTGGAAGTAACCATTTGAGATGACGAGCTGCTACTTTCTCTGCTCACACTCAAAGTTGGCGAAAATAGTTGCGACGAAGGTGATACCAATACTGACCTCTCTGCTGATGACAGGTCAACTGTCCTTTGCTCTGAAGTTCATGANTGGCATGCAATTGAAACCTGCTTATAATTTAATGACTGCGTGCTGGCGCGCACTCAAACTAAAATGAAGAAATAATTACACACTTTTCGAATTTTTCTCAACACTAGTTTGTCCGGTTTCGCAAAAAAAGTTAAGAAAAGCAAAGTCGTTCTGTAGATTTTATTGAAAATGATAACAAGTGTCTTTCGCAGGTTTAAGACAAAAAAAATGCCAAACAAGCAAATATTTGTTTCGCAAAACAAACATGCCATCATTCGACCAGTAGCCAAGACGAATTTAAAGGGAAAACTCTAAAGACCATGATAAATTAACAAATCCTGGCTTCCAGGCGATAACCTAACCAAAATTTCGTCAAAAAACTGTGCTGTCAAGACGATAAAAACAAATAAATGACAATCGCGCGCGGAAAAATGCTTGCAAAATTCTACAACAATACAGCAGCTAAGCTATATCTGAACCATGTGCACAATAATATTCAAAAACAATTCCGGATTAAAAGAAGTACGAACACATTAAACAGATGACAATAAACTTTATCCCCTGCGCAAGTCAGACGAGAGGGTAGTGTGTGTTTGCAGTGAGCCTCCTACTTGTACAGCAGATGCGCAATGCATGCACATTATGTTCGCGCGGTAGTTTAGCGTAAAGGATTAAATCTGACCTAAAACGTTCCGGCTAACATGCTTGCACTGTTGGATTAGCTGATCATATGCCAGGTCACACTAGATGAACAAGAAAAATGTCGTACTTAAAAACCATTTGACTGATGAATTTTAATTTGGTCATGTCAAATGATAACAGCACGTTCCTCTGCTGAATCAAGAAATACACTTGATTAAAAAGAGTTACTTGCAATTTATGTCCGACACAGTATTTTCTTGAATTAAATGTTTTCAATTTCAACTCTTCTTTCGCAAGTTGTTCATGTCTTATCCACTTGCGTGAAATTTGTGAGCTGAGGCCATTACTTAAGATATTAGTTACGGTCCCGAAAGGACACTTATTTGTGATTGTTTAATGACAGGTCGGAGGCTCTTCTGAGACTCCTCCCACGCTGACCCAGGAGGCCGTCAGAAATTCTACAGAACTTCATCTCGGTCACGAATTATTGCGACCACATTCGAAGTACTTTAGAAGTTTCACGAGGATGCGAAACACAAGGAAGCATTCGTACCACCAAAGCCAAATGAGTTAGTGAGCGCTGTTCTCCGTCGTTGCGAAGCCCCGTTTAGGGTCTGTGACGTCAGTGGTACGTAGTTCAAGTTAAATTCCTTTGAGTCAACGTTGTGGAGGTTTAATGTGGGTGGTACAACGCCCTTTGAGGAAACAAAAACTATCTTTTAAAAGACGTAAAAAGACGCTAAAAGAAGCTATGAAACACAGAACGAGTCAGGTCTTGTCCCACACGATGCCGCGCTGGCCTATGGAAAGCACAGTGATATATACTGAGCAGTGGTAATTTAGAAGTAGAGTAATTCATCTTACATGGTGTATAGCAAGCACAGTGAATATACCCTCTACTGCACCAGCCGCTCCTAATAGATGGCCAACAGCTCCTGGTCAAAAGAACAAACAAACTTAACTCAACCTGACGTCTCTAAAATAGTTTTGAATCATTTCTCATTGGTCAGCAGAACGTAAACATAGCCAGACAATCGGACTGATTGCGGAGACGAAAAAATTTTTCACAAAGGGAACAGACCCTTTTACTTTCCCGTTAAAAGAAATCCACCTTTAGTGGAAGAAACTTGAACATTTCTTGAGTGCTGTCCAAGTAACGTCTTTATGGCGCTGTTCTCTCCTGCATCTCCTATAATCGAGAACGTCATTTCGTTAAACTGTTTTAGCTTTAAAGAGAATAACGAGAGTAAAATAAAACGAAAACCGAGGACAACATAGGGAGTTGTGTACAGTCTAGCTGAGAGTGAATGGAGTAAAGGAACGCGACAAATGACTTGGTTGACCCTCTGCACACTTGCATTGATAGGCATATTCTCCATACTGTTCTCTTTACATTTCCTAAGGTGCTGACAAGGAGAATTTGTTTAACGATCAGGAGCTATTTTAGTCTGCGATCATTTCTTTATTCTCATGACCTTAATGTGTGATTCAGCGGTGATATTGCTTGAAGAAATTAGATGCTGATCACTCAGGGGTCAAAGAGTTCAGCGTAAATGATACGTTCCTATCAGGTCACGATCCTTTCCACTCGCCCTTGGGAGAATAATAAAAAGGGAAGACACCAAGGGTAAGAAGTTTAATGATAGTTTAAAAGTGACTAGCGTGTAGATACCGAGTGACGACCAAATTCACTCTAATCGGTTACTGTCGGGCTAGTGTTGTTAAACTATCAACGAAAACTATGGGCAACAAGAAGAGTAATTTCTAAGTTAAGGACAACAGAAACAGCCAGGGTTCGACACTAACTTTTCAACTTACTAGCCCAGTGGCTGGTGACATCTTAGATGCTACGACAATGTCAGTTTGTTTACTAGCTAAACTGGCCAGTGGAAACCGAAAACCACTAGCCAAAACCAAATTTCAACTTGTCTGTGGCTAGTGGGCTATCGTTAGTGTCGAGCCCTGAAAAGCAATAAGTTGTCGCTGGTTCACACCAAGTGGAGTAGATGTAGCATGCGCATTAATGTAATTCACATCCTCTGGTTTGAGATCAGCATCTTTCAATGCGTTCTTCATCGCTAAATATGCCCCGTGCCCTCCCTCTGATGGGGCTGTAATATGATAGGCATCCCCTGAAAAAAAATAAAAAACAAAGGCAACAACGACGTCTTGGTTTCAGCAAAGTTATACACCTCAAGATTCCGAGCGCTGCAGCACGATTAATCGCGAGATTAGACAATGTTTCACTCACTACATTATAGAATCTTAGAAACAAGATAATGTGGCATAAAATGAGAATGAGGAAAAGCGCGGGAAACAAGCGGCCATTGAATAGCGGAAGAAAACGCGTAGGGCAGAAAAAAGCACTGTTGAACACGCGGGTAAAATAGAGCTGTTGAAAAACGGTTGTAATGCCCGATGAAACCTGACGCCTCATAGTACAGCCAAACATAAATAATCAAAGCAATAAAATAATACATCAACTAGAAAAAATTAAATACCTGAAAGACCGTAACCAACAAGTTCAGCATACAGCCGAGCACCACGGCTGACAGCATGGTCATATTCCTGAAACTAGAGAGAAAATAATGTGTTTTAAAAGGCTCTTACAGAGGACGTCTATGTTCCAAGCAACTTAAACAATAACAAGGTAAAACAAAACTAGAAAGTTTGCTATGGAGTTTGTGGAGTGGTTGTCTAAACAGCCTCCCTTTAACACTTCAAGAAACTCCGGCTTTTAAATTTTGGAGCATCAAAGGTCCACTTAAGATAGTACCCATCAGAAGGTCATGAGGTTATGACTGATATGGAGGCAAGACCACTGAAAGGAATTGATGCAGCGGTTTTTGGTCTATTCTACGGAAATCAGTTGCCGAAAATCACTTGTCGAAGATTACTCAACGAAAATCACTCTGGTTTCGTGTACTCAAATTGATCATAATCTTCGTGATGACGTTAACATTCCATAATTGAGACGCTATATATAACTTCGGAGTCCCTCTCCCTTCTCGCAATATACTATTACATCTTAGCTTTCATTTAATGGAAGTTTCATACGACAGGTTTCACGTAACGTCTGAGTCAAATCGCCACCGGTGGCGATTTGACTCTGAGTGGTGGCGAGTTTGGCGATGGCGAGTCTGTTGTGGTGGCGAACTGAACGGATACCAGCGCAGCCTACCTCCAATATCATGACTCCTGCTCCCTCCCCCATCACAAAACCACTTCTTTCTCTATCAAATGGCCTTGACGACTCATGAGGATTGTCATTAAACTTGGTAGTCAAGGCACGCATTCTGGACGCAGGACAAAAATATTATTTAGGCATGAATTCACACTCCAGAAATGTAAAGGATCGTTTTTAAGAAGTGTATTGTGGTTTGATTTCTCAATTTTTCATAGATGTTTTCTTCCATGTACTAAACTGATATTTCAAAAAAAAAAAAACAAATAAATAAATGCAATGAAGGCCATGGGATACAAATGAGTGGGAATAAGCTGGTGTACCAACACGCTTGTCATTTATTTTTAGTACTACAGTATGGTATGACCTTCACAACATCACCTATAGGTGCCATATTATCTCAGTTAAATCTGAAATCAAATTGTGCAGTGCTTGATTCATACTTGCAAAAGCCTGCCATGGCCAAGGGCAGAATACAAGCTTCCACGCCACCAGCAACCATCACATCAGCATCACCATGACGAATCAGTCTGAACGCATCGCCAATAGCATGCGCACTGGCGGCACATGCAGTGGAGACTGCATGATTGGGGCCCTAAAAATATTCCTGGGTAAGAAACTTAACCCCTTACACCCTAATGTCAGTATGCATATTCTCCATACTGTTCTCTTTACATTTCCTGAGGTGCTGACAAGGAGAATTTGTTTAACAATCAAGAGCTTCTTTAGTTAGTGATCATTTTGTTTTTTGGTATGACCTTAATGTAGGATTCAGGAGTGATACTGTACAGAAAAATTAGATGCCAGTCACTATTAGGAGTAAAGGGTTAATTGCACAGTCCTTGATGTCCATTCAGGAGTAGTAATACCTGTAAATCTATCCACAATATCAGGGTAATGTGTTAAAATACCCCATGTGGGGTGAAAGCACTTCAGTGAAACTCATAATGTAGATAATCTGTTCATGTTGTCCTTCAGCAGCATAATTTAAAACATACAAACTGATCCAATGAGGCCTTAAACTGCTGTCTAAAAAGTAAAATTTAAAATCCAAGCTTTCTCCAATCAATGGCATCATCATAATGTAGAGATTAGAGATGTGTGGTTTAGTGTTGCATGCTTACTTTAACTCAGTGAATGGAAAAGAGGACTGTGTTGTATTCATATGTTTGTTGTTTGACAAGCACTAGTTGTTAAAATTTACAATGCCTTTACACCATAACATCAATATGCATCCTCTCCATAGAATTGCATCATTGAATAAAATCTCACATTCCGATTGGTTAACGAAGTGAGGTATTTAGCATGGAATTGTGAGTTGAAAACGGGGCTAAGTGATACTGTTTTGCATCTACATATACACAACAACTCTAAGTAATACTGTTCTCTTTTTTCTCATATTTTTTAAATTGCATGATTCAAGGAAAATTCATTACTCGACTCATGAATTCCACGTTAAATTGTACTTAAAAACCAATATCATACTCATCGCTTCAATGGAACTAACCTGAAGACCAAATGTCATACTGACAACTCCAGCTGGCAAATTAAGGAGAACTCTAGGCACAAAAAATGGACTCACTCTTCGATAGCCCTGAAAAAGTTGTTTTCTGTCAGTCCCAGTCTGAAAATGTGGTAAATCTATCTTTTTTAATTAATCATCAAAACACAATATCTAGTACACTACTTGAATTTGCCTAGCTTTGCTTCACATATGCAAAATAATGAATATAAAATATTAAGCACCCTCAACTATCAGGGCTCGAAATTAATGGTAACCCGTTAAGCAATGGTTAGTAATTTTCAACATTTGGTTACTAAAAATGTGTCCAACCAACCCGACATGGTTAGTAAAATTTTCTAACATATTTAAACATTGGTAGAGTTTGGGACAAAGAGCACATAGACCTGACTCTCAGAGGAATACTTAAAATACTCAAGTTGTTAAATCAACTTAAACTCTTTTTAGAGAATATGCTGAAGATGTACTGTTCTTGACTAATCATGGTAAATAAGAGGGAAATAAAATAAGTGCAAAATTGTCAACGTTTTTAAGGTCACCATGCAATTTCAGCTACTCTTTAATTTGTCCCAGTCATTATTATCAAAATGTTGAATATTTGAGATATTGTAGCTTGTGAGCTTGGATACCAAACTTTATAATAGGGTTAGTAAAAAATATGTCTACTATTCGAAGGGTTAGTGCTCCAAAAATTAAATTCGAGCCCTGTCTATGAGTTACATTTTAACAGTAAACAAAAGTGTTAATAGCTTCATGAATATGAACATCCTTAACATCTTCAGTGTCAGTCCCATAACATTACTCTCCAAGATGACCCGCCCAAAACGTTAAGCGCTATCCACCAGATAAAGATTTATTCAGTGAAGGGCCCTATCCACTCTTCACACAACAGGGCCCTGTTCTTAAATCTGACCTGATTGTTAAGTGCATTCCCCTCTTGCAGTATGTCCTTCAACCCTGTCATTGCCATCCCAATAGACACACCCTAGGATACAAGGATCATTTATTTTAACTCCCATGGCGGAGTCTGATTGTTAATTCTCCCCTCCAGGTGCTACATATTTATTGGAAAATATGTAAGAGAATTTAGTGGTAGATCAGGAGAACAACTTCTACCTCATAAGTTTGAGGACTCTCATTACCTGTCAACTGGATAATGTTTGGGTATTATAACAAGAAATTTCATGTTAATTACTTCTGGGCGATATAGGGTTAAATCAGGGGACTGGTGTTCCAATCCACCATCTCCTGAAACTTCCTACACTGACACAGTGTTCATTTTTATCAGGAAGGAAACAAATAATGCTTTTCAGTTGATCTATCCACTCCCAAGATCTCAAAAGTAATTCTTCTCACATTGTCTGGGATACAATATTCATATGATGTTACTTTGGAGAATTTGGTCTGGAATCAACTAATTGATATTTTTCTTTATTCTCATCACTTGTCTGCTTGATGCTGTATTGATGTTGTAAGGAGAAATTCTGTTTTGGTCATTCATGGGAGTTAAAGGGTTAAGGCCATTTCTCCCTTACAAAATTACATTAAATGAATAATTTAGGGATGAAAACATAATGAAAACTCGCATTGAGATTGCAATGATGAAGAGGTGACGTTAATCAGGCTAACACCCAGAAGGCAGTGTGGCCGAGTGGTTAAAGTGTCGGACTTGTAATCCGCCGCTCCTGGGTTTGAGTCCCACCCTGACCACTGGATCTGTTTCACGGTAGCCCCGAGTTCAGATCCTTGGCCACCCTTGTAAATAGCCAACTGGTTTGCCTCCGGCCGGTTGGGGTTCTTAATGATGTTCTTTATGATGTTATGTTCAATTTAGACCATTTGTTTCATTGTTTGCAAGGACCACAATGGAAACTACTGGTTCACCAGTAATTGTGTAATCCTATAAAAAGANGTAAACAAAACTTCATTTCACACACATTTCTGTTGTTGTTTTTAATTGTATCATCTAAGAAAAATTTTACTAAAAGTATCTTGTCTTAATGAATTATTGAAATAAATGATTGGGTAGGAAATCAGGAAATTTATATTAAATTAAATATCAACCTGTTGTTCGGTTCGAGTGAGAGCAGTTTCTAGGAGTGTCTTTGTTGACTGTCAACGGACATTAGAGTAGGTTTCCTGGAGACCAACTCTACAAATGTTGACGTCAAGCGCAGTCATCTACAGATTTCCATTTTTGGTGTGGGATTATCTCCAACTCAGACGATCGCACTCACACTTCATTTCATTCAAATTTTAGTTTAAAAGGATGTCCGGGAGTCGTATACTTACCTTCTTCTGATAAAGTGCTGTTTACGAATTCAGATGGTGCAGTTGTAGCGGGAAACGTGTCGTATTCCTCAGATAACTGCGATGATTCTGAATATCCCGGGGACATATTTGCTCCTGAGTCAATGAAGTCAGCTGACGCCGCATTAACGGAAGACGCAGGCATAGACGACAAAGTGGTTTCATCCTCTGCCAGTGAATCGTTACTAACCGGCGACGATAAGGTGTAGACGGGAATCTCATCTGAATTATCTTCGGAACTTACATCTTGGGACGCATCTTCGTGATAATCATTTACTTGAGACTGATCTACATTCACAACTGTTGGATAAGCAATATTGGATAGAGGAGGCTCCGCAGGTAATCTACGTACGAATGACGAGTACGAGAAGTAACTGTTCATTCAATCACGGATCTACTTCTCTGGTTCCAACCGATCTGGGTCTGTGAGAGGATGATTGTCTTCTCTTCAGTTTGGCAAATTTCAGCCCGCTTGCTATTCATCTATGGGGAGATGAACGAGGCCCGACTTTTAAATTTCATACCGGGAACGTTCAGCCTGGTAAGTCTGAACTTTCAAATCTTCAACAAACAGAATGATTCAGTCATAGAATGATGTCTTGCTGTGGGAGGAGACCCGGGTCTGATTCCCGGCCATTTCATTTTTTACCACTTTGTTGAGTTATAATTCTTTCCCTTAAAAACGCCACGCTAGCCCGTATTTTCATACGAACGAAACACACGTTTTACTAGAGAAGGAGGGTGTAATGATAAACTATCAAAAAAGTGGCCAGCACGATCAGGAAGTGAGACAAATCCGGTTTTCAAAACTGTTCTCATTGTCTTACCTACTGACTGAAGTTCAACTGGTGAGAAAGCCGTGGCAGGTTAAACATAGGAACTTCAAATATAGGACATGTAATGGTTGATAAACATTGCGAACTTGAGTCAGTTTGGACTTCCTTCGTAGAATTTTGAGGAGAGAGACGTTTACGTCAAACTCTCAAAGTGTGGGCCAAGACAACATATTTTTTTTTTTTCAGGGGGAGATTTTCCCTGCTCCCGAGACCAGATAACCATGAAACCGAAGGCAGTTATGAAAAAGCTCCCCATCCAGACGAAAGACAAGAGTTCAACTCTCAGCTCTCTTTTCTCTGAGAGGTTTTAAAGTTCCATTTCCTGAGGAATTCTTAAATTAAAAATTCTAAGTTCTTGGTAGTCCTTTCTGTAAAAGAATTAAGTTTGGGCAGATAGATCACATATCATCGGTGAGCTTAGAGGTTCAATTTTTTCGAAAGTATTTATTCTTGAAGATCCTATACAGTTGCTGGCAAAAACTGATGCAGTTAAAGATAAATCTTTAACAAGTTACATAACTTTTACAACTAAGAATATAAAGCGCTATACAAGCAAGTCCATAAGTACAACTTTCAAACGTATAGTAACCTTACAGTTCAACATATACTTCACTGGCTACCAGAATGAAAATCCCTGTTTGGCTATCAATACTTTGTAACGTTACATAACCTGAGAGTAGCTTAGTTTGTCATGGCAAATCCTATGAATACACATTTTGTTTTGCTCCCCATCATGAAGAAATGACAAAACTACAATTTAGCAAAACGGAACAAAATACCGATTTTTGGTTCTACGTTTTTCTCATTCTATGTAGTTCTTCTCAGAACCAATCCTCTTGATCAATCACTCGCTGACTACATTATCAAAATGAATATAAAATCACAATGGTGGACTTAGAATAAAATAACGATGTAGTCTTTTAGGAGCCGTAAACGACAACGTTTAAAAAAAGATTTATCCTTGTCAGGCCATAGTACTTGGAAATGTTCATCAGAACCTTATAGGAAAGTTTCTTCTCGGGAGAGAAAGTTTGCTTGTGAGGTCACCAATGCAATTTCATTCCACTTTGCTCATCTACAAATAAAAATGAATGAGCAAAATGTCACAAGGCTCGTCTATAATCTGCATATAGATAAGGAAGATCGTGAATCTGGTATGGTCCCCAGCTCACGAATGAGTTCTTTGTAGCATGCTTGATAGAACCTCCGACTGCAAAACCGGTTAGTCTTTTATTTTCAAGTTCTCAGATGTATTCTTCGTCTCACTGCGTACTGAACCAGTGTTTAACGTGTTACTTTGGAGTAATACTCAATCAAGAGTTGAAAATTATCCGGAATTGCTTTGGTTTTACTTTAGTCCGCTGTTTTATTGGTCCTAGAATTTCGCACCACTTTCTCGACTCATCAAGGTCAAGGCAAAAACCAATCACGAATTGGTTATTCCCATTTCCCCATGTTATGAGGAGTTTCCTTGATTTTGCTTTAGTCCTCATTTTGATCTTGTTTACTGTTCTAATTGCGTTGGTGTTAGTTGGCGTTAGTTCTAGATATTTATAAACAGTTATCCTTCAAGGTACCTACCATTTATTTTTTAGCTCGGTTTGCTGTCAGCAACTGTTTCTAGAGACTCCTGTACTGGGTCGTCGAGCATGTCTCTTTGGAAACCACCTAAGAAGAGTAATTCAAATATATCGGAGAGTCCTATGATAAAGGCACCCATGAGTCCAACAAGAACCCACGAGTCCAACAAGAACCCACGAGTCCAACAAGAAACAACCACTTGGCTTAATGTCTATCTTCGAGAATCAATCCTTCCTTTTTCCACGAGGGTAAACAAAACTTCATTTCACACACATTTCTGTTGTTGTTTTTAATTGTATCATCTAAGAAAAATTTTACTAAAAGTATCTTGTCTTAATGAATTATTGAAATAAATGATTGGGTAGGAAATCAGGAAATTTATATTAAATTAAATATCAACCTGTTGTTCGGTTCGAGTGAGAGCAGTTTCTAGGAGTGTCTTTGTTGACTGTCAACGGACATTAGAGTAGGTTTCCTGGAGACCAACTCTACAAATGTTGACGTCAAGCGCAGTCATCTACAGATTTCCATTTTTGGTGTGGGATTATCTCCAACTCAGACGATCGCACTCACACTTCATTTCATTCAAATTTTAGTTTAAAAGGATGTCCGGGAGTCGTATACTTACCTTCTTCTGATAAAGTGCTGTTTACGAATTCAGATGGTGCAGTTGTAGCGGGAAACGTGTCGTATTCCTCAGATAACTGCGATGATTCTGAATATCCCGGGGACATATTTGCTCCTGAGTCAATGAAGTCAGCTGACGCCGCATTAACGGAAGACGCAGGCATAGACGACAAAGTGGTTTCATCCTCTGCCAGTGAATCGTTACTAACCGGCGACGATAAGGTGTAGACGGGAATCTCATCTGAATTATCTTCGGAACTTACATCTTGGGACGCATCTTCGTGATAATCATTTACTTGAGACTGATCTACATTCACAACTGTTGGATAAGCAATATTGGATAGAGGAGGCTCCGCAGGGCCATCTACGGCAACCGGAGTTTTAGGTCCAACTGAAACTCCATTTTGGTCGTTCTGCGAATTCATGGCCTGTGTTTGCCCAGTTTCTTCCGGAGATCCTTGAGTAATGCTGGCCGTTCGTGATTCATTATCTATTCCGCTCAGTGTCGGTTGACCTTGTTCGTTTGGCTGGGCTTCATTGAAATCCAGGTTGGTAATGGGCTGGTCACTGTTTGTGTGAAAACTTTTCTCGAGCTTTGTGTCGGAAATAACTCTTCCTGTTTCATTGAAGGTAGACTGTGATGCCTTAGACTCATCCAGACTTTCTCGAGGGTTGCTATCATGGATCGTTGCATCTTTAATAGCACTATCTACTGAAAATGTTGCCTTCTCTGCATCATTACCAATGAAAGGTTGGCCGCTGCTTTTGCTGTCTTCTAGAACAGGACTCTCATTCTTTGGTTGGATTGACTCTGTGAAGTCTGGATAAAATGCCTCTTCACTCTGGTTTCCCATAGTTTGATTTCCTGCGACACTGACCACCGCAGGTTGATCTGAGGGCTCTTTAAAACCTTCCTTTGATTCTCTAAAATCAGACTGCTTCGCAGTGTCCTTAACAGATGTTTTTCTTTCACTTACATCAAAGATATTATCCTTAGTAGGTTCTTCTCCCGACTCGCTTCCTTCTTCAAATACTCTATCATCATTTTCTATGGCATCTTTATTGTTTCTCGCATCATCGAGGGAATCCTCTCCACTTCCTGAGGTCTCAATATTCTCCTCTTTCTCTTCTTTGATCTGTTGACTATCACTTTCTGACGGGATGGCTGATTGATTAGAGTGTATCAAAGTTACACTAGATTCAGGTGCAACATCGACAACGGGACGTTCATTTTCGTCCAATGTGGAGTTGCTTTCTAAGTTTTTGGGTTCCTTAGGTAATGATCCACCAGCCAGGCGTAATGATGCATTCTCGGTTCCATTTTCAAGAGTTTTTTCCTTTTGTCGTAGGGAGAGCGTGTTTTCGTCGTCTGTTAAAATATCTTTCTTGGATGCAGCATTCTTCGGATTAGCTCCCTGAACAAGAGGCTTGTCCTCTCCCTTTGTGGTAGCTTGTCGATCTTTAAGCTGATATTTGTTACGCTTATCTTCTATCTCGTGAATTTGTTCTTCAGCAGAATCCTCGACGGTATCATTAGATATGTCGTGTTCCTGGTTCTCCACAGGACCATAAATCTCAGGCTCCGAATAGGTTTCATTTCTTCTGTCTCCCTTTTTTGCTTCGTCACTGTTGAGGTCTTTTGTGGAAGTAGCATCTAACTGAAGGAGAAAGAACAATTACAGGTAAACTAATAACTGTGGTCAGGTTATTTTGGGGAGTTTCACAAAGATCAGCTTTGCTCTATCTAATTCACAAGCTCTTAACATCAGATTTCAAATTTATTTACATATTGCTATTCCGTTGGCAAGAAGATACTTACTGCGTTTGCTTCACCATTTCCAGAGAAACCCCTCTCCCAGCTATGGTCACTGCTCCCTGCGTCGAGCGCGTTGTGTAAGAGGTCTTCAACGTTAGTTACTGACATATTATTTGTCTGTGAGTCCTCCAGAGCAGCTGCTGGCGTTGACGATGAATCTTTTACGAAATTCTGATCGCCTTCAGTTACAGGCGTTTCCGATATTTCTTTTCCAACTTTATCATTACGGGTTTCTGCAACAAGATTAAAATAACCGAATTTTATAAACAGCAAAATACACGTCTCCTACTCTGTTGTTCTCGGCTATCCAAATTGTTCACAACAGATCAAGAGTCGAAAATCTTGCGATGAAGGAAACTTGCAACTGAATAAATTCGCGAACATCTGTAAGTATGGTTTGGTGAAGTATTTTCTATTACAGCCTACCATTCAAAGGGGAAGGAATTTCCATCTGTGATTTTCTCGGTGACAAACTGCTTCCCAGGTTCATCAAATGCTGACCAAGGTTGGCCAACAAATTGGGCAGGGATTGCCGCTTTGTCGCTTGCATACCTTTGACTTGCACGTGCAGTTTGAGTTTGTTGGGTAAGACACCAGAGACATGGAGGATATCGCTTCGACGGTGACGCTGGTGATGCTTGTCCAAAACGCGGCGGGAATGGAACGGGTTTTTATAATGATAATGATGCAGAGGGTGTTTGTGGAAATGGTTGTGGTGGTGGAGATGGTGATGCAATGGGTTGTGATGGTGATGGTGATGCCGGTGGTGACGATGGTGATACCTCGGTCTATTGTCATGGTGATGGTGAGGATGATGATGGTGGTAGTGTAAAAGATGACGATGATGACCGAGATGATGACGCCGACGATGCGGGTGGTGGTGGTGGTGGTAATGATGGTGGTGATGATGATGCGGATGATGGAAAATCTTACGATGTAGCTTTGTCTTGTGTTCTACACCATTCGCTCTGGCACCTTGACGAATCAAAAGCCAGGTTGTAAGAAGAGACGTTTTATTAAAAAAAAATGGTTTACTGCCGCAACCTCCTCAGGTCTCTAAGTATAAAATTTCCTGATGTTTGGATGATATTTTGAAAGACCTAGTTGAATCGCAGAAACCAGTTCCAAGGAGTTTTTTCTCCTCATGTGTAGCGACCCTTGTGGACACCATAGAGCGTAAAAAAAAAACAACTTTAGTACAGCAACTGACCTTGATGACTTATCAAATCACTCAAATCAAGAGAGTGAGGAAAATAGTCTCTCGTTAAAGAAAGAAACAACATAAAACGCCTTTTTAAATTTATGGAAAAGATCAGTAGAATTCAATTTTTGTAGGGTGACACCTCCTCGGGACTATAGCAAGTACTACCAGTCGAATAAGTGCTACTTGCTTAGTTTACGCGTAGGCCAATTCAAACAAAGGAAACAAACAGATTAGTCAAGGTCGCATGAAATCTTTCTCTTCGCATATGGAACAAATGTCAAAAAAGAGTTACCATTCTGACGGGAAGAAAGTTTTAAAAGTTGGTATGTTTAACATGAGGTCACAAGTAAACATAGAAGTTGTCTCAGTCAAAACCGATGATTTAACCGCATCAAACATTATTCGTACCTTTGACGGCGCCATCACAAACGTTGAAAATTAAGGCGAGGAGCACTGAGAAGAGCAAGAAAGCCACATTCATGTCAGTACTGTACAGCTGAGGTTTATTTTCAGGACTGTTTTATTTCCTTTCCCTGGAACTGATTGCAGATTTCCTTATCACGTTGGCATCTCTTGTGTCCTTTTGAGAAATTTGTTTTAAACTGTATTCAAAATAAGGAATTCAGGTGTGTCGATGAGTGGTGAAAATCGAAAAACAGCAACAGGTTGTTACGGACTATAACCGAAACAAAAGCCAACAACGGACTTTCCACTTCACGGTCTTTTATTTTGTATGAATAAAGAGGGGATTATGAAATAGTAAAAAGTTCTCAGAAGCGATAGAGGACAAAGTGGATGAAAAAGCTGAGACTATGGATATTTGATACCTTTTTCCTAAACGCTTCTGAGGAGACAGAAATAACAATTTCAAGTTAAACTGAAACCGTGCGCTGGTTCACCCACAACTGAATTGCTTTTCCTGATTATCTGTTCTGGAGAACATAAAATTTGGGGAGTCGTGCCAGGCCTGCTCGCTTTCAAATGAATTTGTTTCCCTAGCCATTCACTGAGCACAGTTCAAAGATCAGTGCCTTAAAGAATTTCGCATTGCGACACAGCAAAATTCGGATTAGCATATACATTTTTCACGCATAGTGCACCAAAATTATTCCGAGTCGTAAAAAAAAAAAAGGGGAGGATTCCAAATTGAGCTTAATCGCAAATTGGAATTATTGGTGTTCCAAGGTCTTTATCGCAAGGCTGCAATACAAGTTTATATGCATTAGCACAATGTGTGTAGAATCACTTTGACGCGCTAAATACTGCTGCATCGTAAGTACAGGACGACTAATCAGTATCATAGTACGTTCACCAATTACAGCCTTTAATCTTAATTAGTAAACATCTACCAGCGTTCCACGATCACAAATTCTGAAATTTGAGTGGCCACCCGACTCGCTATTTTTTCCATGATAGATATATGTCGGGTTGTAAACAAAATAAAACAAATACATGCACCCGTCTTGTTAGGTTTTTCAACGACTGGTAGTAGATGGTTTGTACTAAAACAGTTTATTCTGTCTCGATTTCTGTACGTAATAGCTGATTCGAGATCTACCCTCCTCAACTGTCAGAAATCTCGAGCTCAAATAAAGGACATCATCAAGAGGAAGGCCTTTAAATCGCAGCTGATCAAATGGGCCGGGGCACATTCTTCACAGTTGTGCACATTTGATCATTGAAAATATCGGATGCAATGCAAATCTGCTACATGGCCTAATCATGTGTATCTCAGGCAGAACGGACAGAGGTGTTCTCTGGGTACTCAAATATTTTCATAGCAGGAGGCTCTGTCGCAATGCAGATAGTGGAACCACCGCAGATGTGCTTCATGCTTTAGTCCTGTCTCTAATACAAAGGATTACTTGCAGATTGTTTCAGTTTGGGCGATAAAAATATTTTCAATACAGGAAAATTTTGTCAGGAGAATACATTTTTTCACTTCTACTGCGAATGATCAAAGGGAAAGAAAATTAGAAAGAAATGGCGATGAATCGATCTCAAACAAAACGGCTCGAAACAATTTTAGTTTAGGTCAGTCCTTTTCTTGTAGTTAATTTAACTGTTGCAGTCTACCGGCCATTGTGAAGAACGCCTTGTCGCCTATCGTGTACAACTGGCAGCCAAACAGGATTTAGCTCTCGATAAATCATTTAGACGAAGCACTGAAAGTCACGAAACGATAATGCTTTCACAAAGTAATATCTGTTTTTCAATTAGCCAACAAGACGTGTAACTGAGATACTGTACAGTTAAGATTCGGATAATTTAATTAGTAGTCTGAAAAATTTTCTCCATTCATGTTATCTCTTTGTTTATATTAGCCTTTTACTCACAAACAACAAATCACAAACAAAATAAAATTCCCGAGAAGTTAAGAAGGCTACAGAGACAATATGATCAGAAAGTTTGCTTAGACGCCCCCTTCTATATTTCGAAAGTTGAACTGTACATATGAACGAAAATGTTTTGCGCAATCATGGCAAATTTTGTTAGAAACGCCATGAATACTGATTAAGAATACATTATTTATTGGATTTCGTCATGATTTCAGAGTCATCACGGGAGAATGATTAATCCTTTGTTCGAGTGTCGTTGCCTGCTTTTACGATGCGGTCTGGCTAATGCTAGGAATAAATGCATTTTCTCAGCTTTACCAAACAAAATAGGATACCAGCTGTCTTTGTAAGGCGTTATCGGTTATTTTGAAACTTTTACAGCCATTCTCTTGAAATCGCTTTCGTTTGCTAAGTCCTATTCCGGTTACACAATGTAGAATTTTACTCTGAAATTGTTTACATTCTTTCACTCAAAATATACTGATAATTTTAGCGTTTTTGAGTTTCAGCCCTGTAAGAAAAGGTCACGAACCCTCCATTTAGACTAAATTTACACATTCTTCGCTTTGATTCGGAACGCCGCTGTAAGTGATGGAAACTTCCAAAAAGATGATTTCATTAGAGGAATCTGTTTTGTGTTATGACATTAGAGTGGACGTTACTTGTGAATATAATTATCCCAAGATACCGTGTCGTCCCCGTAAGAAAACTAGAGAGTAGGTTAAAATACCCCCGTATTTGCTTCTCAGATCATGGGCGGGTAGGAAAAAGAAAATTCTGAATAAACGTCATGTCATAACATTTTGACGTAATTTTTACCCGGAGATGAGGGTAAAACAGAAGATTATTATTGCACAGACGCGTAAAAAAGGAATGAGATACTTGTTGAACTAATTAAAACTCGTCACCGTTTCCTAAAACAAAGCGTTCAGTGAATTAGCCAATCAGCTCTCACCTTCAACTGTGAGGGTCCACTTCACTTTCTACTTCATCTAATCGCTTTCAGATCGTTGAGGCACATACAGCTTATAGCTATTAGCAAATGTGGTGTTTATGCTTAAATAACCATGCACTGAAACTTTGGATGCAAACACAACGACATTTAATCAACATGCAAGACCACACCCGACTACAGAAAAACTCTTTTTTTTTTGGATCGCGTGCGCATTCCGAACACTGTGATTGACAAGTGTCAGAAACACTACATCTCTCCCCTTCTTGATCATAAACTTGGATACGTGTGTATCCAAAAGATCGACATAAACAACTTATCTCTGATAAATAAAAACGATAAACTGGAACGTGTTTGTCACGAAGTTCAATGGCATGCTTCGAGTTTCAAGTTCTATCGCAAAAGTAGGAGAAAGTCTTAAAGTTTTGCAGGGAACCTTATTTGTCTTTGAGATTGCCGCAGGGCTGTAGTTGGGCTTGGAGAACTTGATGACTTCTCTAGTTCCGAAACTTCTGGTGACCAGGCTTCTGCTGTTAAATCTTCGTCTAAGCTTAGCTTGTTGCCCTTTCAGTGGTTGCTTGATTAGAACTGTGTCTCCAAGCTTGATCTTGCTTTCTCTAACTCCTAACTTTTAATCTGCATATGCTTTCATCTTCATCTTCTGTTCTGTATCCCTATCTGTCATGTTCTTCTGTTCCTCAAGAACTGGTAGTGTCACTTCTGGAAGAGTAGTCTTTGGCTTACTCTGGTTACGTGCTTCACACGATGAGATGTCAGTGGTCGAGTGAGGTGTCGCCCGATACTGTCGTAGAAACTTATAGAGTTCTTGTTTCCAGTTCTTGGGCTCAATGGTGGCGGTTCTCACGCATCTCTCTAGTGTCTTCATGAAACGTTCCGCTTCGCCATTTTCCATTAGCCAGACGGCGTGATTTTGCGGTGGTGAAAACCCAGATACTCAGCAAAGTTCTTGAACTCCATGCCATTAAAGGGGGGGGGGGGGTCCATTGCCACTCTTTAGGACATCAGGAATTCCTCGTCTAGCGAAAATTGCATTAAGCTTCGGGATGGTGGATTTAGCAAAAGTGGATGTGATAATTTCAACTTCTGGCAAACGGCTGTATTCGTCTATGACAACCACGGGGTATTCTCCAGAAGGGAGTAGTCTTAGAAAATCCATCGCGAGTTCTTTCCATGGGGCGTTTGGTAGGGTATCATCCTTAGAGGTTCGAGTCGTTCCACCCCGCTAGTAGTTACTGCTTGGCATGGTAAACAGTTGTCGACTTTCTCCTTAACCATCTTGTCTATAAACCATGAAACCAAACTTTTTCTCTGATGAGGCGTTTTGTTTTCACTATTCCTTGATACCCAACGTGTGCTACGTCCACGGCTCTGTCTCTCAGTGTTTTCGGGACTTTGCTCCTGTTTCCCCTCAGTACAGTTCCTTGGTAGACCAACAGTTCAACTTTCAAATTTCTGTAATCCTGTACTTCTTGATGTGTCCACTGGTCAGTCTCGATGGCCTTGATAAGTGCTTGGAGCGAATTGTCCTTCTCCGACTCTAACTTGATTTCTTGCAGCGTCATTGCTTTTGACATTGCCTGGTTGCATACATAGTTCGACAGTATACGCCATGATCTGATGCTCTCAAAACTTCATAGTATATATAAGTGCGTCCAGTGGTGCGTGCAGCTGGTTTGGAAGCTACCTTTCGCAACGATGCCAAGTTGTTAATGCCTACATACATACATAGATAGTTGTTTAACAGCCTTGTTGGCCTCCCGCATGTCTACGCATATTTTTAATTGACCAGACCCCTTGGGGACTATGACAATAGTGCTCACCCAGGGTGCTGGGCCCGTCACGGTCCCGATTTTCTGTAACTCTTCTTATCGCTTTAACTCCATCTCGACATCCTTTCTGACATGGAAGGGAATTAGACGGTGGGGTTGTTGCTTGGGTATGACGTTAGGGTGTAGGTGAAGCTTAATGACTTTCCCTTTTTGCCGATTCCAGCGAACTGGCTTCCTTAATCTCCGTTAACAGGGGACTGGAGACCGGTCTCGTCAGGCTTGACTCGGTTGATGATCTTGAGCACACCAAATTTTGTAGCAGTGTTAAAACCCAGGAGGTTTCCTGAAGCACCTTTGATGACATGCAGGGTGTGTCCATGTGCTGTTGGCGTTAGCGAATATTTCGGCCTCCATAATTCTCAGAACAAGTAGAAGTGTGGATGATCCGTAGGAGAAAATTCTGCACTTGGTGGCTTCTCGTACCTTCCGTTTATATAACTCCCTGAAAGTGCGTTCGTCCATGGAATCGACCGATGCGCCGGAGTCGACCATCTTTTCCATTTGTTTCCCATCGATCTTCACTTTGCAAGTTGGTTGGTTGTCACCGCCAATCGTGTAAACGTATTCGTCATTTTCAGCCGTGCTGACTCAAGTGGATTTGTTCTGCAAACACGGGAAAAGTGGTTTAGTTTACCACACGAGTTGCAGTTCTTGTTCTTCGCAGGTCATAAGTCTTTGTGAGGGTATGGTCCACCACAAGTTCCTACATTTATCATCGTCTTTTCGGGAGTTGGTGCGATTGCGGGACTCGTAGCGAGTGCGTGACTCCTGGCGATTTTGGTGATGGCGCTGTTTCCCTTTGAGACGTGTTGAGGTTCCTTTCTTGTTAAACTTTACCGCGTTTATCGTTTGATCGTGATTCTCCAGCTCCTTTGCTTGTAGTCCGCTTATTGCTAGGGCTCTACCAGCTTTCATGAGGCCAGATAAGACGAGGTCTTCTCGCAGAGCTTTGCGCCGTGTGGAAGTTGACTTACAGTTGAAGATGATCTGTTCTGTGATTTCTCTGAATTTGCGAAATCGCAGGTCTTCGCTAGGCTTCTCAGACGTGTATGGAAACAGTCAGTGGTTTCCCCATCCTTTTGCGTGGTATGCTGGAAATTGTAAACTTCGTACGTTACGTTGACTTGCGGAGAGAAGTGGGCGGTTAGTCTCTCGACGGCCTTTTGGTAATCTTTGTCTTCACCAACCGCCTCCCGGTTAGCTCAATGGATAGAGCGCTGGACTGTAGTGCGGGAGGTCGAGGGTTCGAGCCCCGGTCGGACCAACACTCAAGGTCTTAAAATAATTGAGAAGAATTTGCTACCTTTCTATAACATCAAGAAATGGTTAGATATTCTAGTCTTCTCGGATAGGGACGAATAAATGGAGGTCCCGTCTCCTGCAGGGTTGGGGCAGGTGACGTTAATTTCCCACACACGAGATTACTGTGTGATGGATGTCCTCCCATGGGGTGGGATGGGTGGGTTAGGACAGCAGGTCCACATCAGCTATTACAGCTGCCAATTAATCAACCTGCTTAAACAAATAAATGAACTTCAACCTCAACTTCTTGAATCGTGTCGAAGATCTCGTCGACCTCTGGACCGCCGTAGTGCAGTGCCCTTTTCGGCTTTTCATCGGAAATTCCCATTCCAATGGCTAGTGTCTCGAATCTTCCTAGCCATTTCTTTCATCTTGGGTCTGCATTTCCATAATCCATAATGGTAGAGAAATCGCCATAATCTTTTGGCCGGAAAATGCTTCGGAAATCTCTTTGGAAATCGCTTTGGATGTTTTTTTGGAAATCGTTTCGGAAATCCCTTCATATCCTTTTGGAGTACTCTCTGTGTGTTCTATGCTTGATCCTCGTCGCCAGATGTGGTGTTTATGCCCGACTACAGATAACCTCTTTTTGTTGGGGACCGCGTGCTCATTCCGAACATTTTGATTGACAGCTGTCAGTAACACTAAAGCGAACGAAGCATTTTTACTAGCAATATACATTTTTACTTGCAATTAATAGTGTTAATCAATACGAGAAATCAGTACCCTCATTACGTAGCAAAATGATTTTCAAGAAAGTTTTTTTACTTTTGTGTTTGTACTTCAGGCTACGATTTTTTGTTCGTTCCCATGAACTACCCAAGCAGAAGCACGAGCACTACAGTTTTACGGCGTTACAAGAAACATTAAATGGCGAGGTTCTCCTCTCAGATGATGTCGATAGACTCCTCTCTAAGTTGCATTTCTGGAACTGTTCAGATGGCAGTGCAAGGGTCGACAACAGGAAGGTAAAAAGAGATAAGTTTACATGTTTAAAAACCACGATATTTGACCTTGTGGTTCATTTAAGTTAAGGCAGAAAACACATTTGTTCGATTCCCTTCGTACCGGAAAAAGTTACTAAAACGCCCAAATAATCAATAATTGAATGAAGTAACTCTTCTTTGATGTATATTTGGCGAATAAAAATGCATCAAAAGTATTGAAATTGTTGTAGATCGTTGTGCAAAGAAAACAAACATTACCGAAGAGATCGAAGAACTTGTATTTCATGTCGTTGTTTCGCCGAGCACGCGGTTCTTTTGTTTTTCACGTCTCTTTGATCGAACTTTATCTTTTTAGTGTCTCTCGACATCAGATGTCCTCACCTACGCTGGATCGTCGGTTAAACAGTTGAATTCCAGCGAATTTGTCGAAATCAGTCCCATGATTGTTTACTGTCTGTTGCCTGCGCCTGAAATGAATCCTGGTCGATGTTCAGCTCCCAAGAACCACAGCGAACTTTACAACTCTTTCGCAAGGAATTATGGCGATCATGGAAATATTACACGTGAAACATTGGATAAATTATTGGATGAGATCAACTCGACGATCGGGAAACATTTAACTGCGAAAAAGGTAGGAGAAGTAAACGAGATTGCAAGGTGTTTTGCTAGCCTCTTTTGTTGAACTAGCGCGTTTGAATATTGTTGTACTCAAACGAAGAAATGCAACGTAAACTTATTCGCAGTTTACGACTTTTTCTCAAGACCGCGTGGGATAGGGCACACTGACCGAAAAATAACTTTCCTCAGAAATGTAAAAGGGTTTTTTTTCCCCAGATTAGCTTCCTTATTCGAGAAAATTTATAAAAACTGAAACGAGTGTCGGTAGCCGGTTAGGGCGGAAATTAGTGCCTCGAGTTGAGGCAAATGAACTTTGCTCATGCTAAGTGCGAAAGAAAGCAAGCCCTTATCAGTTTGATAAGGGCTTGCTTTATCGGAGGGATTGTTTTATCGGAGGGATTGAGGTATGGTTTAAGTCTCAGACGGGACTATTTCATTTAATTTGGAGTTCGCGGAACGCTTTCATGTTAGGCTGAACTTGGTGAAAATGATGCAATCGTCATTTGCGTCATGACACAATCTAATCAGGCACCCTGTGGTTAAATCCAGAATTTGAAGCAAATTTTAGCAGTTAGCACCGTGTTCGATTAGGAAATAAATACAGTAAGCTATTCCTGCGTAGCTAATGACAGATTGGTCTGTAACCCTACTTCTCTTTCAAATCCTCATCCATTTCCCATGGTGAAACTGTGTACAAAAAGCACATTCCTTAATTAAGCCAGCGGGACATATAATTAGATTTTGTGGATACACATAACTGATGATGTTAATCGTAATGGTCCCCTTTTGGATTTAAAATAGTCTGGAAAAAAAAAAACCTTATCATGTTTCTAGGTGCACAATCAGGTATCTCAGGGCAAGAGCAGGTTTTCAATTTTTTGACAATGTGCTACATTTTTGGATTTTCACTTACTCCACTCAGACAGTCACTCCTAAGTTAACTCAACAAGCCTCCAAACAAGCCTCTAAACAAAGGTTCATTCATTAGTGAACCCAAATGACTCAAGTGGTTTGATTCAACTCTGAAAGATTTTGTTGGTAAGAATAGCTAGGCCTCTAAAGATTTGGTTGGACTTTTATGCTGAAACTTTTGGGTAAAGGCTCATTTTTAAGTCATCCTTTGGCAAGTGATTTCAAGAGGAAAAATGTGCCGACTTACTACAAACTAATTGAGCTTGTACCTGTAAAGGTTTAAAACAAAGGCCCATTTATGAGACATCCTAATTCATTGTTTATGGTCTTGCAGATTTTATGCAGTCAAAGGCCTTTAACCCTTAATCTGTCAATTTTCTAATCATCATAGAGATTTTGAGACTATTTTAAGAAAAAAATCATTGAAATTCAAGATTTTAATCAATTATGGCTTATTATATATGATAATAAAATTGATAAAATGTGCTATCAAATGGACCATAGCAGGCCATCTTCTACATAAATTATGTTAATTGATTCCACAAATTTGCATAAATCAAAACAAGTTACCAGAAAACACCACAAATTTGCAAGGAAAATTCAAATCTAACAAGTTTCTGTGAAAAGGTACTTCTAGACAATATTTAGAAGACATTGTTCTGCCTGTGGTATTCTTCATGGCAACCAGAATGGCATAAACGTTTCATGCAGGATCTGTAGCCAAAGCCGGTTTCCTTTCGCTTAGCTCCTTTCACTCCAGTACAGCAGTGGTGACATCTTCCAAATTTCAGGAGCCCCAGGTCAACAACATGGACAGAATCATGGTCTTCTCTCTCATGAAATGGAGGGGCAGGCACTGCTGGTACTGGGCCACACCGATGATGGCAAGAAAAATTTCCAGTCAGCTTGTGGATGAAACCAGCTATAAATTTGTCACGGGGCATTGGTTTTGGGGGAATCCGTGGAGGTGGCATGTTCATAATTGGGAAATTTTCCCTGTACACGATGTATGCATTGACCATAATTGCATCCAAAAAGTTAACAAACATTCTCACCCATCATCTCCTGGACTTGCAATGAATTGCATAGTTAGGCACCATTTGATCATGGCAATCAACAGCACCCATGTTCTTATTGTAATCAACTGCACTTGGTGGGCAAGGCTAATTCACCAGTTGACCTCTTCTCAGTTTTCTAGTGATTGCACAATTGCCATGGGATGAGTGCTCATTTGACCAAAAAGAAACATGTTTTGTGTCTTTCCACACTGAGCAAACTGTTGTTTCAGATTTCACAGTGTGAAATTCACCATGCTTCATTTGTTTTAGCAAGTTTTAATCCTGCAATGCCTTCGGTTACCCTTTTCTATTTTTTCTTATTTTTCCCATGTCACTGATTGAGAACTCTTTCAACTCTTGCATAAGGGGAATGCTGGTAAAGAAATTGTCAATGTACAATAGTGCCTTCGTCATAAAGTTGCGAAACCAGGTCAGTAACAACCTGATGTGCTAGACCTCTTTCGGCATCTTCACCAGATTTCCCTGTGTACACCTGAAAATCATAAAGGTATCCACAACACGAACAAGCCAATTCCCAGATTTTTGCACCTCTTTTGATTGGTTTCATGGGAAGGTACTGTTTGAAAAGATTTCTCCCTTTTCCTTTTACCATGTGCTCATCAACACAAACCTTTTGGCCAATATTGTAAGTATGCTTGAATTTTTCTTTCATTCCATTGATCATGGGGTGCAATTTGTAAAACTTATCATAGCCTTCATTAGTAGGAGCAGGCTGCCTTGTATTGTGAGCCAAATGAAAATTCTGTTACAGTTGCCAGAATCGATTCCTGGTAAAAACATTTTGTAATGCAGGAACAGCAAATACCCAATCACGAGAAAAGTAATGATCAAAATTTGGCAGTCTTTGTAAAGCCATGAAATAAAGGCCACCAACAAATGCTTTCATCTAATCTTTCTTTGTGTCACAGAGCCATGTTTTTCTTTGTTTCTGAGCAACATACATATTTGTTTGTTCCACCAAAACATCCCAGAGATCTTCCGGAAATACTAGAGTAAAAAAGTTCACTGCTTCAGAGTCAGCTTCCAAAAGAGTAATAGGGCCATGCTGCCCTCTGTATTCAGGAAACGAGACAACAACATTCTTGTCAAGATTTCTCCACCTTATAGCTGAATTCTCTGCATCATGTTGATTTTTAGGGGATCTTGATCTTGTCCCTCTTGCAGTAGTTTTGCTCGCTCCTCTTCCACGTGGTCTACCCTTACTCAATTGTCTTCTGGTGAAAATTGTTGTTTCATTTCCCTGAATGTTGCTATCACTATCGCCCAATTCGGAAGGTGAAATATCTGCATGTTGTCTGTATTAGACTCATCCATACCACTTCTGTGATCTCGTTCTTCCCCCTCAAAGTCCGAGATGTCGCTATCCTCGGGAATATCCAACAGAATGCTGGTAACTTCCTCTGCTTTATACCTTCTTGCTCGCCTTGCTGCCATGTCGAGATTGCTCCTCAAAAATTTTACCCAATTTGATCAAAAAATGACTCAATTATGACTTGAAACGTTAAGTTAATTTTTAACTATGCCATCTTTAAATACCTTTTAGGACATTTAAATCGAAGGTTTGAAGAAAAAACATCAAATTCAATCAAAATAATGCAGTAGAGTCTGAAAAAAATTCAGTACATTCGTAAACAACCTCAGACATGAAAATGAGGCTAAAATCTTACCTGAGAGCACTATACTCCATGAGAACAATGATTTTTGTCCATGACGTCATATGCACGGAATAATCCACACTTGACAGATTAAGGGTTACAATCAGTTTTTTTCATTTGTAATCTGGTTATTAGATTTTCTTTATAATTTGCATGCAACGAGCTTGTAACGACACTCACAAGTTAACACCAATTTACTAACAATTGAACAGAGATCTTTAATTATCTCTTGTTGAAGGTTCACTTGTTTATCTAGAATTTCCTTTGTTAAAAATCAATTTTTTCAATATTCCAGTTACTTATTTCCTAAAGTATTTTCTTGCCAAATTTTGTGAAATTCTAATGTGTGGTTCTCAAGAAATAGGCATATTTCTGAGAAAGCAGTTTTCCATTCAATTGCAATTTTTTGACTTACTATGCATGCGCTGCATTTAACTGGGTTCTTTTGGCAATGACGATAAAGCTGAGAATTGCTGGGTTCTTTGCACCGTTAACTTTTCTAACATGTCTTTGTAATAAAAGATTAAAGCCCTCAATACACTGCGCCAACTGTGGAGAAAAATAGCACATGATAGTGTGGATACATGTTGAGTAAATAAAATGACCGCTCTATTGACGGCATGTTTGTTTTTTTTTGCAATTCTTGTGCGCGCGCTGAATTGCATCAGAAAAAGCATGTGCGAAAACTGTGTTTGGCCACCTTAATTGAGCAATGACTATAGCTTTTAAGCAGCATGGGGTTTCTTGTTTAGTTGAGTGATATGGCATTGCACAGCATAAAACCCCTCTTTGCCAGGGGATTAGGGAATAGTACACTTGGTGTATTCTTGCCACCTGTTTGCTTACTTAATTAAGGATATTGTTGGGAGAATTCACATCTTTATATGATTATGTGGAGTTTAAGTGCTTAAAGAAGCTGATTGCTAGCAGATATTGCCTTTCTGATTTGTGATATGAACCAGTTATATTGCGCTTGGTGGGTACAGCATTGACTCCTTTTGAACTCTTTAACACCTGTTATTTATCAATGTGCAACTTTTGCTTACAATTTCAATAAATTACATCCGTGAAACAGGTCTTAAGAGCAGTGATAGTGAACAGTGGTTCCCATTTTTGGCCGTCGGTAACCTGACAGGTTACTGACACATTACAGACAATCAGCAAACAGTGTTAAATAGACCAAAAACAGAGTCAAAACTTTTCCAGTTAAAACAGCAAATTAAAAATCTCTGGATTGCACCGTTTGTACTTATCTACTTGATTCTATTTAGACTCAGCCTCCCGGTTAGCTCAATTGATAGAGCGCTGGACTGATGTGTGGGAGGTCGTGGGTTCGAGCCCCGGCCAGACCAACACTCAAGGTCTTAAAATAATTGAGAAGAATATGCTGCCTTTCTATAACATCAAGAAATGGTTTAGATATTCTTGTCTTCTCGGATAGGGACGAATAAATGGAGGTCCCATCTCCTGCAGGGTTAGGGGTAGGAGACGTTAATTTCCCACGCACGAGATTACTGTGTGGTGGATATCCTTCCCTGGGGTGGGATGGGTGGGTGTTGTCTTGCGATTACATGAGCCTCTGGCTCGGGCAATATGGGCAACCATGCCCCATGCAAAGACATTAAACTTGATTACAGGAACTGTAAAATAAGCTTGTTAGACCCATCTTCCAATTGTACGTACCAAAATTTAGTGGTAAATTTGGTACCTATTTCTAATATCCTTGTTTGTACGCAAAAATACTTCTGTCCTCCATTTTGGGGTTGTAAATAAGCAGAGCCAAAGGAAGGTTTTCAATTGCCCTATAATGCATTTCAAAACTATGGTTAACAGTACCAGGGAATTGGGAACTAGAACAACTTTTCAATATGGCAGATAAATGAAATCAAACCAATTGGGCAACTTTCACTAGCTAGCAAATGCAAAGAAGCTGTCAAAAGCCATAATAGTTATTGAAAGTAAAGTGTAAGGTATCTTTTTGAAATGACTTTTCCCCTTTTCGTGTAGTTTTAGAAGCAATAGATAAGGAAATGTTTATGATCACTTCAGTCTATGACCCACTGACAGGTCACCAACTTTCGTCCAACAGTCAGCCGAAACTTTGGTGTGAAACATAACAAAAACTGTCAGTCAACAGGTGGCCGACTGTCAGCTGTCTGTTGGTCAACTGTTGACCAACAGATGGCCAACAGTTGGTGGCCAGTTGGGGGCTAACAGCTGGCTGACAGTTGCTCAACAGTATCTTTTGGAGACTGTTCTTTACTCTTACCCTTAAGAACAAATAAAATCTTTAAAGTGCCTATGAAGTAAAATTTTGTTTTGCATAATTTTGTAGCTTATTATGTCCTTATTAAGGAATGATAAAAGAAATTTCAAGAAAAGAAATTTGAATTGGCTTTTTGTTGGCTTGAAGTCCGTAAGTTAGACGTTATCGGTGTCTCTGGAAACTGGGAACAAGTTTTGCTCTGATGACATAGTCGGTGGTTCTGGCGCTTTGTTTAAGCTTTTGTTTGTCATCTTCAGAACCACCAACTACGTCACTTCCTTTGTAAGATGAGATTTGACAACGCTCAAAATGGACCCATATCAGATTGCAAAATCCAAACTTTGAGGTTCATAAAATAATACAAGACAGTTCTTTTGGTCGGTCAAAATCGCTTAGCTGTGTTCGTCACGACATAAGCAAACAAACTGGGCAAAAAAGCTTTTACTTCATAGGCACTGTAATGGAGTGTTGTTTTGATGTAAAACCAAATTCCCTTCACTTGTTTACAAAGAAACATATATAGGAGAGAGAGAGAAGAATTGTGATACAGATACAGTTACAGAAAAGCTCTTAAATTGACTATCCCAAGCTACAATTAATGAATTACAGTTTTTGACTTAGCAACCTTCTAATCGCCTCCCGGTTTGCTCAACTGGTTAGAGCACTGGATTGTTGTGCGGGAGGTTGAGGTGGATGGTTCGAGCCCTGGCTGGACCAACACTCAAGGTCTTAAAATAACTGAGGAGAATGCGCTACCTTTCTATAATATCAAGAAATGGATGGGTGCTCTAGTCTTCTGGGATAAGGATGAATAAACCGTTGGTCCCGTCTCCCGCATCTATTAAGTAGTTAACCCTATTGGGTCCAAAGCCCTCAGCCCAGACCACCCCTGAAAATCCAGACAAAATGGCTGTCAAATTAAAAAAAACCATGTGGTCCAAACAAATTTACCATTTTATGTCTTGGTTTTACCCTTCAGCAGTGAAACTTTAAAACATGATTGCCAATACAATAAAGAATTACTTAAACTGCTTAAATACTGAAGATGTATGTTATGCTTTTTTAAAAAAAATATTAAAGTATGGACATCAAGTAAACAAAGTGACCATCGCTGTACTACCTACTATGTACAAGGAAATGAAAACATCTTAAAACCACAGTAAGTCTCAATTGCTGCTCTTAACTCAGCAGAAATGCAAACAAAAAGAATTAGTCAAAAACATTTTGCATTAAAACAGGCCATCTCACGGGTAAGAGAGTGAAATTCGTAAGTTTTCTTGCACAGATCAAATTTGAATTTACCGCCAGTGCTGACATCAGTGAACGTCACGAGGTAAAAAAAACTAGAAGTTACGAGTTAAGCTTACACAGACCTGGCAGTAAATCGTCTATGGAAGTATTGAAGAATGAAATAACTATCGATTGAATAGAACCCTTTCAGTTAGAGACTACGAACAAAGCTTAGATTATACCAAACAAAGAAAGTTGTTTTTATCTTTGACCAGTTCACGACTTGCAAAGTGAAGGTGAAATGAAATTGGGCTTTACGGCCTAATACAGCGCTCCAAAGAACGAAAAAAAAACAAGGTACAATTTAAGATCAAAGGTTAAGTGTTTTTTAAGAGTTAATTTCCTTCGTGCTATTTTGAAAAGCAGGAGAGTTCGCCACGCATTTGCTGACATAATGCAACGCCGCATTGCTCACAAGCATATGTTTCGAAGGCGCGTCTATCACTTTGCTTTCTCCCATCGTCGATGAAAAGATTAAGGAAATCTTTCGATGTTGCACCCTCGCCCAGATCTTTCGTTGGGCCATGAGGAAATTATGGTAAACTCTTCGATGTCAATTTCACTCAATGTGTTTGACCATTGAACCCCAAAGGCATATCTTCGTTGTCGCTATCTACTTCATCGTCTTCTTCTTCTTTGCTAGCAAAAATATGGACATCGGAGTTTGTTCCCCCTTAGCGCTTGCCGAAATCAAAGATCTACCCGATTTCTCCATCAACATCACGCAGATTTTTCTTGTAGCCTTCTCTGCCGTTCCTGTCGATTTTCAGCCACTTCGAGAGAGAAAAACCAGGAAAGATTTCTTCTTCTTCATCGGAAGAACGCGAAGTATCGTCAAATCCGCGAGAAGCCACGCTAAAATACTGAATGCTATTTTCAAAAATTCGCTAAAAATCACACACGAATCGCTGAATGAAAAACATAACATCAAATGAAAGGTTAATTTATGCAGGTCACGTTCAGTTATATTTCAATACCCAGGGGACTACGGTTTCTTAGCTACAGCCAATAAAAACGAGTCATATCTGACAGGGCGCATGAGGGCGCACTGGATTTTCAGAGGGGTTTTATTTCCGGGCGCATGAGGGCGC